GGGCAGGCACTTGTCTGAAGTGGTATAGGGCAGGGGTGTCAAACTCAATTTCATTGAAGGCTGCATCAGGGTTGTGTTTGACCTCGTTGGGGGGGGGGTCGGAGTGGGCATGGCCAGGGTGGGTGTTGCCAGCTTGATGTCACGCCTGTGGTAGCCCGAGCGCTCTGCCAGCGAAAACAGGTTCCCAAGCTCCGTTTTTGGTTGCCATGGCCTCCTGCAACCCTCTGCTAGCGAAAACTCAGAGGCCCTACCGAGCTGTGGTTGCAAAGAAATAATTGTTGAATTATTACATTCCAAGGGGGAAAAATAGATACAGGTATTTCTTGTAATCTTCTCATTTACAAAACCAAAGGGAGTAGAGACATTTGGCTGTCTAATCTGCAAAGTTTAAAGCTCTTTATATATACATGATGTCCTCCAATTTCTTCACTATATGTCAACATTGATCTATATCCGTGGGTTTTCTTCCCCCTCTTATAAGTAACAAAATACCTTGAGCCAGCCCTAGGGAGAAATGCATCTCTACCTTAGGTTTAAGTGCTGGGAGATTACATTATCCCAATCAAGTTGAATTTTCTTTGGGGGAAGCTTCAGAATATCAGCGGGTAATTTGGAAAATGACTGCATGGGGAATGGTCTGGCCTATGAATAGAAACAGACAAAGTACAACTTCAAGAGCCCAGATTATGCTAATAAAAGAAGAACGAGCTCTGGTAGCCCATTGGTTAAAAGTGCAGGTTACAGTAACTCAGCCCCCCAACTTTCTGAGGTCAGTAAAATGAAGATCTAGATTGTTGGGGGCAATATGCAAATAATGTTTTGACATTGTAAGCCACTGAGAGAGTGATGTAAAGAGCTGTGGAGCAGTATATAAACCTAAATGCTACTGCTATTTCAAGGAATCTTTTTTTTAAAAAAATAGCCAAATTGGAAGGATTTTGGGCAGGTGTTGCAAAAGTCCCCTGGGTTTTTGCAGGGGACTTTATAAGATTTCTGACGTTTGAATCAGGGGTGGGTTCCGGCAGTCACTACTGCCGGTTCACTCGTGGATGTGCTGTGTGCACTTCACATGCATGCGCAGAGCAATAAAATTTGTTCTGCGCATGTGCAGAAGCAAAAAACAAGATGCCTTGGACCATAGGTGCTGCCCGGAGAAACGGTTCAAGGGCGTGGCAGGTCTGGGTCGCTGCTTATTCCAGCTACCCAAGCTGCCAAACCACTACTAGTTTGGCCGAACCAGTCCAAATAGATAGGAACCCACCACTGGTTTGAATATACATAAAGGTAAAGGTTCCCCTTGCACATATATGCTAGTTGTTCCTGACTCTAGGGGGCAGGGCTCATCTCCGTTTCAAAGGCAAAGAGCCAGTGCTGTCTGAAGACATCTCTATGGTCATGTGGCTGGCATGACTAAATGCTGAAGGTGCAACCACCAAAGTGGTTCCTATTTTTCTACTTGCAATTTTTTTACGTCCTTTTAAACTGCTAGGTTGGCAGAAGCTGGGACAAGTAATCGGAGCTCACCCCGTTACCCGGCGCGAGGGATTCGAACCAATGAACTGCCAACCTTTCTGATTGACAACTCAGCGTCTTAGCCACTGAGCCACTGCCTCCCTTTTTGAATATATATAGACATGCACATATGTTTTTGATATGGTAGCATCATGCATAATCGCTTTGATGATGATTTCTGCCTGAAAAGCTTTCTGACTCCAAATTCAACCAATTCCCTTGAATGATAGGTTCTGCCTTAGAATCAAATAAATGTTTATAACAACCATGATACAATAAATTCAAATAGAAAGTATCTCCCTAAACAGCATTCCTTAAACCTGTGATTGGCAGCCTGGGGCCAGGGAGTCTTGCTTTCCCAGCCTGCCATCCCCAGTGGGGCCCACAGCCCTCATACTACCTGATTTGGCCCCTGGAAAATGAATGGCATAAGGTTGGAGGAAGGTAACTAGCTTTAAAAACTGGCTGATTCTTGCGTGAGTTGGTCAAAATAGCTTTTTAAAAACTGTAACAAGGTTAGTTTGGAAATCCTCTATTGAATGATCACCATTCCTGCATTTAAATGGGATTAAATTGGATTAAATACTCCTGGCCCTGCCAAGAATATTTTAGAAAGCCAAACAAAGATTTGGGAAATGGTTGCTTTGCATTACAACTAGCACATTGGCCCATGTTTATGGTCTCTGTTTATTGTGATCAATTGAACCATTGAACTCAACCCAGTTTTATGGGTTCACTGTTACGCCAAACCATAAAGTGGCCCCAAGATCTGTCTTTGAACAATCTACCAGGCTAAATTGAAGTTGGCTAGAATGTGGCTTAATGATGTGTGTGTCAGGCCTGCAGCCGGTTCCTTTTAGGATCTTTGGCCTGCCACACACTCTATTATTTTACTGTGCTTTTTCATTAGTGGGGATTTGGGAGCGGGAATAGTAAGGAGTAGAATGTGTTCTTGTCAAAATAAAAAAATTCCTTCCTAGAAGCCCAAGGTCACCCTTTGTCTCTCTACACCTCTGAGCCTGACCGGAACTGGATGGGTGGAACTGCCAGCGTGGCAGTGGAAGATTGGCTCATGTGATGGACTTGTGGATGTGGGGCAAGATCATGAACTTTCAACTGGGTGGGGAATCCCAGGAAGCTTTCAGATTCGGGTTGCCACAGATGTGCCAACATGTCTTTCAATAAATTGGAAGTTTGAGGAAACCTTTGCCTCGGACTCTGATTTAATTTTGGATGATATTTTGAACACTGACAGTGTGTTCATGCAACATATTAGCTCATTTAAAGACCAAGCAGATGTAATCATATGATATGCTAAATTTGATGAGCGTTAAAATGGGGAGAGGAAAGCAGACCTGTAGGTCTAATTCTATTTTTATTTAATATTTTGCTTTCTTCCTTAGCTGCTTAGGCTTGTGCATGAATCATTAAACTACAATTCTCTCCTTTCGCCTACCCCATTTAAATTGCAAGATTGGTAATAAACTAATACACTCATTAATTTATGCCTCTCTGAGGATCAGCCTGTTAAATAGATTTTCCTCCCAGTGCTCAGGGCTCTTTTTTTTTCTTTGTGTGACTTGGAATTGACTAAACCATGTTCACTGTTGTAGCAAAGACATCAATTTTGCCCACAGAAGGGATTATTGCAATGGGCCATGCTTTTGATAATACTTGTACATAAACCCAAACAAATAAAAACACATGTCAGTTCACTGAATGTTTTTGAAGAGCTACAAATTACAGATCAGAAACAGTCCTTGTCTGCTTCCTGCTTCAACAGGTTGAAATCTCCTGATAGACATTGAGTAAAAGGATTGTTGTTTGCGAAGTCATGTCTGACCCATTGTGACCTCATGGACAATGTTCCTCCAGCCTTCCTGTCCTCTACCATCCTCTGGAGACCATTGAAACTCACGCTGACTGCTTCAGTGATTCCATCCAGCCACTTCATTCTCTGTCATCCCGTTCTTCTTTTGCCCCCAATCATTCCCAGCATTAGGCTCTTCTCCAGTGAGTCCTTCCTTCTCATTAGGTGGCCAAAGTATTTGAGTTTCATCTTCAGAATCTGGCCTTCTAAAGAGCAGTCAGGGTTGATCTCCTCTAGGACTGACTGGTTTGATTGCCTTGCAGTCCAAGGGACTCTCAGGAGTCTTCTCCAGCACCATCGTTCAAAGGCCTCCATTCTTTGGCGCTCAGNGGTGGAGGGAGGGAGGGGTACACACAAAAAAAAATTGTACTTCAATGTTTTAATGATTGACAAATGATGACATATTTGTGGTTTTTTTTTTAAAGAAAAATAAAAAAGTTCTGGAAAAATAAATAAATAATAAAAACGCCTTTAAAAAGCATATTTTATAATGCAGTATTGCAGACTAACTCTGCTGACTGCCAGGAGTTCGATCCTGACTGGCTCAAGGTTGACTCATCCTTCCATCCTTCCGAGGTCAGTAAAATAAGGACCCAAATTGTTGGGGGGAAATGTGCTGACTTAGAGAGGACTGTAAAGCACTATGAAGCGCTATAGAAGTCTAAGTGCTCTTGCTCTTGCTATATTTACCTTTCCTAACTTGGTGCTTGCCTGATAGATTACAGCTTGATTTCCATGCTACTCACAAAATGGGCCTGCTAATTGGTAGTTTGTCAGCCCTCTAAGGTAAAGCAGACAAGAAACACAAGTAATTCCATTGTATTGTAAGAATACATTACCAGAATCTTGCAAATCTGAATGTATAAACTTGTTGCTGCCACTTTTAACTGCTTGATCCATTATGGTGGGTCCTTCCTAAGTTTCTGTAACAGACCACTAAATGATTGTTGGCTCCTGCCTCTTATCAGTTTTTTTCATAAGCAGCATCTTTTTTCCTCAACTCCAAGGTCATCTACACATTATAAAATCAGGAGGACTAGTCCAATACATCTGGAGGACTTTCAGGAAATGTTGATGCCAAATGTTGTGCATGTATTCTTTCCCAATAATGAACACAGGAGTTTTCTCCTGACATAGGAGATGACCAGGCTGAGCCTGAGGGAGGGGTCAAATCAGTGGTGGGTTCCTACTGGTTCAGACCAGTTTGGGCGAACCAATAGTGGTGTGGCAGCCTGGGTTGCTGGAACCGGCAGCGACCCAGGCCTGCCACACCCAGTTCTCTGGGTGGTGCCATAGGCACCACCATCTTGTTTTTTGCTTCTGTGCATGTGCAGAACAATTTTTATTGTACTGAGCATGCGCATGCAGCATGCCCATGAGCGAACCGGCAGTAGTGCCCGCCGGAACCCACCCCTGGGTCAAATGCATCACATGTCATAAGTCCCCGTGCACCAGCAAGAGATCTAAATCTAGCCCAGCTTGAATGCCTCTCTTATCTCCCGCTCATTTCCATTGACCGTTAGTTGGTCAGATTCTTGTAGATGAATCTTTATACTCATTTGAATTGCCTGAATCTTCTGATTTCTGACAGCTGCTTTCTTTCTTTGTTTCCAAACAGCCCACCAAGTCGCTATGAAAAATGGCTCAGCTCTATTACAAAAAAGTAAACTACTCCCCCTATAGAGACCGGATCCCACTGCAAATTGTCCGGGCAGAAGTGGAGCTGTCCTCGGAGGAGAAGGCCTACCTCATTGCTGTAGAGAAAGGGGACTATGCCAGTGTAAAGCATTCCGTGGAGGAGGCGGAGATCTATTACAACATCAACATCAACTGCATGGACCCTCTTGGTCGCAGTGCCCTTCTAATAGCCATAGAGAATGAAAACTTAGAGATTATGGAGTTGTTACTGAGCCACAATATCTACGTGGGCGATGCACTCCTGTATGCAATACGGAAAGAAGTCGTGGGGGCTGTGGAACTGCTTCTGAATTACAAGAAGAGAAGTGGGGAGAAGCAGGTAAGTCAAGAATGAACTGAGATGTGCATCCAAGGGATTTTCCCAAAGGTGCTTTTTCAAAAGACTGTTTGACTTTCTTTATTTTTCCTTGAAGACGTTTTGCTTCTCATCCAAGAAACTTCTTCAGTTCACTTCATGTCAGCTGCCACCTTATGCTCACCTGTGCTTCACTTCCATATGGTGACAGTCTGCCATGAACTCTGGAGAGGATAGATAGTAGAGGGTAGTTGGATCCAACAGGTAGTGAATTCATCCTTGAATGAAGGGATGTACTTCACTCATTATTTAACAAAACCATTCTTAAAGAAATCATTATTAGACCAAACATTACTGAATAATTCTTTTTTTTTGTTATATATATATACATATATATATACTTAAAGTCACAACCCCTGGTATGCCCAAGTNAAAGTATTTGAGTTTCATCTTCAGAATCTGGCCTTCTAAAGAGCAGTCAGGGTTGATCTCCTCTAGGACTGACTGGTTTGATTGCCTTGCAGTCCAAGGGACTCGCAGGAGTCTTCTCCAGCACCATAGTTCAAAGGCCTCCATTCTTTGGCGCTCAGCCTTCCTTATAGTAAATGGGTAGCAGGGTGTAAATAACCTACTCTGAACAAAAGAGAACACACCACCGTGGATCTTGGCAGGTTTACCCACAAGTTTACATTTTTTCCTAGATATGCCTACACAAATATTCCTACCTACCTTGATTTATCATCACAACTGAGCCCAAAATTTCCATTGCTAAGCAAGGCAGTTGTTAAGTGAGATGTGCCCCCTTTTTGCAAATATGTCTTGCCATGGTTATTAAGTTAATCACTGCAGTTGTTCAGCAAAACTGGCTCCCCTCATTGACTTTGCTTGTCATGATCACACGACCCTGGGATGTTGCAACCATCCTAAATACTGTAAATGGCAGTTGCTAAGCACCCAGTCATAAGGGTGAGATCCAGGCAGTTTTTTTAGTGCCATTGTAACTTTGAACAGTTGCTAACAAATGGTTGTAAGACTACCTGTATAACTTCATACTTTTTCTTTTCTCAATCCAATGGTTAAAATTAAATAAAATGGGCTGCAAATTTGTCTGTCTGCACCAGCATGCTCTGAAAATTGAACAGATCAGGACCAAATTTAGTAGAGAGAAACCAGCCCAAAGGTTATTAGGAAAATAGGCTAAATCCTGCGGGAAGCTGCAAAAGAGATTCCAGGAAAAGAGGCAGTGAATTGGAATATTGAGGTGCCTTCCATTCTAATTCTAAGAGCCGTGGTGACGCGGTGGTTAGAGTGCAGTACTGCAGGCTACTTCTGCTGATCACTGGCTCCCAGCAGTTTGGCAGATTGAATCTCACCAGGCTCAGGGTTGACTCAGCCTTCTATCCTTCCGAGATCAGTCAAATGAGGACCCAGATTGTTGGGGCAAGATGCTGACTCTGTAAACCACTTAGAGAGGACTGTAAAGAACTGTGAAGCAGTACAGAAGTCTAAGTGCTATTGCTATTGCTAATCCTGCCTCTTTCCTAGTCATGTGACCCAGGACAGTATGTGCAGCCTGCCTGTGTTCCTTGATACAAACACAGGCACCAATCAGAGGTGGTATTCAGCCGGTTTTGACTGGTTCTGGTGAACTAATAGCAGATATTTTGAGTAGTTTGGAAAACCAGCAAATACTACCTCTGGCTGGCACCTTTATTCACTGCCTCCTGAGTCCCAGCTGATTGGGGTGGGGAGAGAATGGGGATTTTGCAGTATCCTTCCCCTGGAATGGGGAGAGAATGGGGATTTTGCAGTATCCTTCCCCTGGATTGTGGAGGGAATGGGGATTTTGAAGTATCCTTCTCCTGGAGTGAGGAGAGAATGGAAATTTTGCAGTATCCTTCCCCTGCCATGACCACCAAGACATGCCCACCAAAACCTGCCCACCAAGCCATGCCCACACAAAAATTTGTGGCACCAATTCAATATATTGGATTGATCCAGTTAGACCAAATAGGGAGTACGAACACATTAACTGATTCTACTTTATTATAAAGCTACATTAACAGAATCTTGCAAGTCTGAAATTACAATTTCTTTCACCTTTACCAACTGAGAACATAGGGAAGGGTCCCTTCTCTTTCCATTATGCAGCTGTGCACTATGTGGTTTCTTATCTGAGCAGTCCCTAGGCAGCATTTCTTCTCCTCAAGGTATAGAGAAGAACACAGAGACATAACACAAAAAACAGTTCCACGGGTAGTAAAGGGGTTGGTGGGGGATAAAAATGATAATGTTCATGCTTTCCATGATTTAAAAATTAGGATAAGAAAATTGCTGTTGAGAATAAGGAAGGAAAACTTAATGGACATAAGCAGGAACCTTTATCTAGGCCAGAGGTCGGCAACCTTAAACACTCAAAGAACTACAAAGGTCCTAACTGGAATCCCCCCATTCAATTCTGGAGCTGACCGGAAATCTGGTTCCCCCACCACAGAGTCTCATCCTAGTGTGGTGTCCCTTTACCTCTGCCAACCGGAAGTCTGGTTCCCTCACCATAGTGTCTTCTCCTAGGGCAGCATCTTTTTTCCTCTACCTGTCCTAACTGAAAGCTCTATCGATTGTGAAGCCTACTGGCGACAGGGAGCCACAGCAGAGAGATGAAAGAACCACATCTGGCTCCAGAGCCACAAATTGCTGACCCCTGATCTAGGCAAAGGGGCTGAAACATATATATTTTTTTTAAATCCAGAGCCACAAGGGAACATTTAAAGTGGCTCAGACAGATCACTCCCTAATTCATGAAGTCCAAGAAGATGGACTCAGATTTGCAATGTGGTTAATTTTTATTTTCTGACCTTTGCAGGATCATTATGTGGGATGGACAACTACATACATTGAACAAAGAAATATAGATAAACAGCTAATACAAGTAGTTTTAGCCTTCCTATAGAGTTGATTATATGGTTTGTTATACCTCGGATAGACAGAAACTTAGTGCATTGAATGAACCAAACCATTTAAACCACCAGCTCACCAATTTGTTGTGCAAATCCAGAAAACAATAAAATGTGATAGTTAGATTATAGATACATGAATGCAGCCTTGAGCATGTTAGACCACATTTGGAATACTGTATCCATTTTTGGCCACCACAATATAAAAAAGATGTTGGGACTCCAGAAAGAGTGTAGAGAAGAGTGACAAAGATGATCGGAGGACTGAAGGCTAAAACATATAAAGAATGATTGTAGGAATTGGGTTTATCTAGTCTAGTAAAAAGAAGAACGAGGAGTGACATAATAGCAGTCTTCCAATATTTAAGAGGTTGCCACAAAGAAGAGGGAATCAACCTATTTTCCAAAGTACCAGAAGGAAAGACAAGTAGCAATGAGGAGAGAAGGAAAGAAGCAATCTAGAACTAAGAGATTTCCTGACAGTGAGAACAATTAATTGGTGGAATGGTTTCCCTCCAAACGTTGTGAGTGCTCCATCACAGGAAGCTTTTTTTCTGAAAAGTTTTTCATTTTTTATTCTCTTACGTACAATTACAGGTATTCATTCATATAGTTATTCTTCTTCTTTACATTTTTCATTCTTATACATTTGTTATCCATTTTAAAAGGTTATAATATACAGTTTGGGTTGCTTTATTTACCATCCCTTCCACCTGTTTTAACCCCGCCTTATTTCCCCTTTCTTTTCTCCCTCCCTCCCTTCTCTACTTCCTTCCTTCTTCCTCTTCTTCCCCTTCCTTCTTCACTTTCCTCTTCCCTACTTCTACTCTTCCCCTTCCCCTTCCTACTGTCTCTCCTTCTCTTTCTCTCCCTTCCACCCTCCTCTCCTTACCTCTTTCTTCCTACTGGAAGCTTTTAAGAAAAGATTAGACAACCATTTGTCTGAAGTGGTATAGGGTCTCTGCTTGAGCATGAGGCTGGATAGATGACCTCCAAGATCCCTTCCAACTCTGTTATTCTGAATTCTATATGTTAGAAATCTCTGCTGTTGATAGTTGATGATTACAAAGTTTTCAGCTCCCCTCCCAATTTTCTTTAAGACTCCTTCCAAAAATGGAAGGAGAGAAAATAGTGCAGAAAAAAGAGCTTGTAATTTCATGGGCATGATTAAAAGATAAAGGCAGGCATGGAACTCCACAGATCATCCCAATTCTCAATTAAAAAAAACTTTTCTGTGTCAGCGTATGAATTGCCTTTCCTTTGAAAATGTTATTGCAAAAATGCTGAGATGATTCACAGGACAGTAACTATAACAACCCAGCTCACCACTTTGCTTGAATTAGAGGTGCTTGACGAGAAAGCGGAACAGAGGCTTTGTTTACCCTGAGAGCTGAAAAAACCTGAAAGCAACAGAAAAGGACACCTGAGGGGAAGATGTTTTTGCAAAAATGTCCACCACATTCAGACTGAAGAAAATAAGACTGATTTGATTTTAACCTCTGAGAAGGTTCAAGGGCTAAATTAGGGTATGTGAGAAGTGAAAGGTCTGGATTCTCTCCTGGTACTCTTAAAAAAAAAGAATATGAAGATACAGAGAATCCATGAGGAAAAATGTTGAGGGCTGAGGTGGGACTTCCTTACGATGTTGATATTATCACCAGGATTAGTGGTAGAAAATCAGCTCTTCAAACTAATCTTTTCTAAATCCTCTTCCATTGAAGATGTTAATAAAACAGTTGAGGATCCCACTCTCTATAACACCATTTTTCCCATAACGGCTCTTTCCAGCCATTAACATCTGTGGGGAAGCCATTCTCAATATAGCCTCTCTGTAGAAGACTATTTATCAGCACACTATAGATGATTGTCTCCTTTGGAAGCAACAAACAAGTTTAGCTTCAGGAAAGAGAAGTAAACCATATCCCAGCTGGAGAATTCTGGGATGCAGAATTCTGAAGACAAGCTGTTCTACTAGTGAATTGTTCTCACTTTCAGGAAATTTCCAGTGGTGGGATTCAGCCAGTTCGCATCAGTTCGGCTGAACCAGTTGTTAATTTTTTGCGTATTTTG